TAGGGTTTGGGGTTTAGGGTTTTCGACACAAAGCGCTTGTCTCACAACTTCAGCATAGCTGAAACCTTGGCTGAATGAACAGTGATACATAAACGGTGATTAGCCACATCTGTTTTCGGCCAGGATTGTGCACTCAGCTCCTTCCACCCCTAAAGCCATTGTCTGCCCTAACAGTGTAGCCCTAACAGCATAAGGACCCTGACCTCCCCTGCCAAAAGTCCTTAAACCCTATATAGATCCTAAAACTCACACCGAAGCCCTACAGCCCCAAACCCTGAACCGTAAGCTCTAGCACCCTTCGTGTTCTGCTTCCGTGCCTGGCTGGAGGTTAAATCGATGTCGGTGGCGCCCTCAGATCGGCCAAGGAGGGTTTAGAGATGTAGGGTTTAGGGTTTGGGATTTTGGGGCTGTAGGGGGTTTAGGTATTTAGGACTTGGGGAATTCAGGGTTTAGGGCATGTCATTTTGTCCTTTGCTCTGTTGTGTCGCCTCTCACGAGACCTCGGGTTGGGATTGATAGGAGTTTGTTGATCTTTAGGGTTCAGGGTTTAGGGTGGGGTTCCGGTCCTGGATTCTATCTCTCCGCCAACTGGGGTTCAGGGTTTGCGGCTGGCTAAGGAACTCGTAGCTTTCGGAACCCGCTTTATCATGTCGTTCTCACTTTCAAATTCGAAAGCTCTAACACATGTACTTCATTTTTTTTTCTGTTTTGGGTTTTGGGTTTTTGGTTAGGAGTTAAGGGTGCTGGTTTTTGACAGTATAACCTCGACATACTTCTGGCATGATACTTAGTCTCATCAGCTTGTCTAACCCTGATCTACTTGTAGTGGAAAACACCTTCCCCTCAAGACAACATTCTAACACTCACCCTGGTCACCCCAGCTAGTCATAATGTATGGGCCCTCAGCCCTAAACAATGAACGCTCAGCCATCCAAGCCCCGAGCTGTAAGCCTAAAGCCTGACCCAAACCCAAACCCCAAGCCCTAAGCCCTTCTGAAACCTTATCTTTTACTCTTATGGACCTTTCATGGAACCCCTAATCATTCTACAGACCCTATTGAACGCCGTGCAAAACCCTTACAGGAACCCCCAAAGCTCAGGTGGCCAGTGCGACGGGGGAGAGCTTCAGCAAGGAACAGCTCAGCTCTGCAACGGATGAGGACCCAGACTAGTTGAGGGTTGACCTTGTAGGGTTTAGGGTTTAGGGTTCAGGACCCTAAGCCCTAACCCCTAGACTCTCTACAAACCCCAAAGCGCTGCCAGGCTAGACTAGAGATCCTAATGTAGGGGCCTTAATAATTAGAATAGGGTTCTGGGCTCCTGTATAGTATAATTATAATAAGGATCCCCCCCAAAACTCTATTCTAATTGCTAAGGCCCCTGCATTACAACAGACACTCAGCAAAAAGTGTAGAAATGCCGAACTGTAGCTTCTCACTCTGACCCGATAATCCCGAAGCTGTAGGGGGTTTAGGGTTTAGGGTGTAGGGTTTTGGGTTTGGGGCCTTGGTTCAGTGTTTACATAGGGTTTAGGGTGTAGGTTTCGGGTTTAGGCTTTGGTTTAGGGTTTAGGGTGTAGGGTTTCGGGTTTAGGGCCTCGGTCTAGGGTTTGGGGTTTCGGGTTTAAGGGTGCCTCAACTGTGGTGTGCTTTTCGGCTCGTAGGCTTTCGGCTCAAAGGATGTGGCGGAAGGGGAACACCCGGAGGCGAAACCAAGAGTAGAAACATCAATGAAGGCACAAGGACGACGAAGGTGTGGGCTGTGCAACTGTAGTTGAGGCAAGCACAAGAAAGCATCTGCACCTGTTACCACCGGCAAAAAAGCGGAAACGATGGCACAAACAAGATCGAGACGAAGAAGCTGTCTTATTCCTAGACGCAGCAACTGCTCCGAGGTTAGTAACCCTAGCCACAACCCTAAACCCTACACCCTAAACCCTAAACCCTAAACCCTAAAGCCCTAAACCCTAAACCCTAAATCCTTCATAAGCAGGGAGCAGAGTACTTGTGTCAGTACTATGGCTGTTGGTGGTTATGCCTTACGATAAAAATCGCCGGCTTCGAATGGACGCATGCATACACCTCAACTTATTTAAACCCCCTACGTAAACTAAACCCCCGAGCTTGGACCCTTAAACCGCTCGAACCCCAATGCTCCCTTCGAGAAGGGGCCGGTATGGTACAAAGCACTTTAAAAGCATCGCGACAACACAGACAACCCTGGACTCCTAAGCGCTAGACCCTGAAGCCTCTAAGCCCGTTAAACCCTGAACCCAGCATCGGGTGTGTCCGACCTCTGGCAGTGAGAAAGGGGCGCATTACACTTTAAAAACAAAGCCCTCAACCCTAAACCCTGAACCCCTAAACCCTAAACCCTAAACCCTGAACCCCTAAACCCTAAACCCTAAACCCCGAACCCCTAACCCCTAAACCCTGAACCCCTAAACCCTAAACCCTGAACCCCTAAACCCTAAACTTTGGAGGACGAGGAGGTACCTCCACCAGAACCTTTCGTGCCCGGTCCGAGGAGGTCCCAGGAATTCGACTTTTCTCTAGAAGGGCTTAGGGTTTGAGGGGTTTAAGGTTTAGGGTTTAGGGAAGCATTTCTCGGATTTAGAATATAGTACCTTACTGTAGGCCTATATATCGGACCCCGTTCCGTTTAGGGTTTGGTCTTCAGGGCTCAGCGTTCACTCCAGCAGTTTGGGGGTGCAGGGCTTTCGGGAATTTCATTGGTGAGTTTGGTTGAGGGTCAAGGATTTGGAGATTTCGGCTCGTGAAGTTCTGCGATTGAAAGTTCGAGGTTTTGAATTCTTTTTGGGGTTGAGGGTCTTCAGCTTCTGAGGCTTGGGGTTGTTTGGGTATTGGTGTCGGCGCGCTTGTTCAGGGGCTAGGGGCTTTTGAGATCATGCTTGGGGCTTGAGATTGTGAGTCTTTTGGTTGCACTACGGCCTAAATAATTGCCAACACTTTTTTGGGGGGTTCCTTGTTAGAATTAGACTATAAGGGACCCCAAAACCCTGTTCTAATTAGTAAGGCCTCTACATGAGACTACATGAGACATGTTTTCGGTTCGAGGTTCCTAGTTCGCAGACCTAGGGAAGCATTGTGCCTCGGCTGCACTTACGTGAAGATGTTCAAAAACAGGCAAAGTCTCTTTGAGAGGCATGGAGTGTTGAAAGATCGGGGTTGTCTTCGTGATGTAGTGTCTTGGGAGGAGGGTGCAGGGTCGTTTTTTTCAGTATTCAAAGCGCCAAATACACAAACAAATAAGTTCATAAATCAACGAGAAGACAATGTTGTTGCATAAAGAAACAAAGAGAGATATACAAGCGCATAAATACATAATAGACTCAAGAAGCAAGTCAAGCCATGTAGAAACAAATAGAAGGAATGACACCAGTAAATAGATATACGTTAATATATATATATATATATATATATATGTATGTATGTATTTGTATACACATGCATGCGTACATACGTGCATATGTACGTGCATATGTACATACGTACATACTTACAGACAAAAACAATACATGCACACATACATGACATACATACATACATACATACATACATACATACATACATACATACATACATACATGCATACATCAGAAACGGCGCCCTCCCCAGTTACCCTAAGCCCTGAATTTTGTTTTTGCCCCACTCTTGTCAGGGAGCTACGCACAGTTCGCGTTGTCAAGGACCCTTGGAAGGGAGGGGTTTGGAGTGGTGAAGACGTGCCTGCCCCTCCAGGCCTTTAAACCCTAGACCATAGCAGAAACCTTTTTTTCCGCTTTTTTGGGAGTTTCTTGTGAAGCGAAGGTTCGCCTTAGGAGGATCCCTGCACGTGCAGAGGGAGCATCGCTACCCAGTCGCCTGCGAGAGCTTCTGCTGAAGATGTCACTTTGAGTTTGACGGTGTTAGGATTTACAGGGTTGCAGCAGCTGAGTTAGGCACGTGAGCATCGCCAGAATACAAACCGGTCGGTTTTGGGATTATCCATCTTATGGTTGCCCTCACAAGAACATAGCCGTAAAGCTTGACCATTGATGCTTAATCTTCAAAGTCTTTTGTAGAGAGCTGTACACAAGGCCGGCTCAGGCGCCTTTGACTCAATCCTAGACTCTCAAAACTAGGGTTGTAGGGTTTAGGGGTTTAAGGTCTAAACTCTCCAGCCATGCGAATCCGAAGTTGCAACCCCGAAGCAGAAATCTAGAGTCAGAGGCTACGACAGAGCTCGTTGCAACAACATCGCCCGCATAGACAGCACAAAACCAGCTTGAGTATGGAAAAAAAGGTGGGGCACCAAAGTTTTGTACACAGTGAAGTCATGTCAGTGTATTCAGGAAGCCCGGAAGCTTTCGACGACGCTACCCACGCAGAAAAGCACACCCTGACCCTACGAGACATCCGCAAACCTTGAATCCCGAAACACTCAACAACCCGAAACCCATAAAATCACAAGCTCGAAACCCTAAACCCGTAAACCCTAAATCATAAACCCTAAACCTTAAGCCCTAAGCCCTAAACCCTAAATCATCAACCCTAAACTGTGGAGGATGCATTGACCTTTGGCATGGTGACGGATGGAGTCAGGGGCCCGGAAGGGCGTGAGATCGGCGGTAGAAGGGTTTATTTAAACCAGGGGCCTAAAAAAATCCAAATTTATAAGGACCCCCCCCAAAAAAAAATAGTATGCTACTATTTTTGGAGGGTTCCTTATTCACAGTTAGAGTGAGTAGAATATACCCCAAAACCTTACAGTAGGCTTAGAAGGTCAGGGTTCAAGGTTTCAGGGTTAGGGTCCAGAGGGTACGGTTTTGTGTATAGAGGGTTCCGGTTATAGGTGATCCAGGTGGCATAGGGTTCAGAATTTTGACTTCTTTTTTTCCTTATGGAATTGGGCTGGTCACGAAGTCCTGTTGCCAGCGATTGCTCGCGGCCTAGAGCGCCAGAATCCAAAAACACCGGTCTGCCTTCAAATCAGCGCTTCCGTCTACATGCCGACCGCAACTCTAAGCCCGAAGACTTCAGTCCACGGCTCCTTCGTTCGAAATATCAGATCCTTTCCCCCCAAGCCCGAAATCCCTAGCTCGCAGCCCGGGAACAGGCTTGGGACGAGACCGTGGCAGCACTGAAGCTCACAGGACTCTGGGCCCGTGTTTCGGGAGTGTTGGTGGTGATGACGACAGCCAGCGGGAGTAAGGTCGGTGGAGAGAAGCGTGGGAATAAGGTCTTGAAGAAGGTCAGAAGCAGTCCACTAGTAGTCGTCGTCGTGGTAGTAGTAATAGTGGTGGTGGTAGTAGTAGTAGTAGTAGTAGTAGTAGTAGTCGTACCAGTAGGAGAAGCAGTAATAGTAGTAGTAGTAGTAGCCGTCGTCGTCGTCCTCGTCGTATGTAGTGGTAGTTGTAGTAGCAGTGGTCTGGGAGTAGCAGTAGCAGGAGCAGCAGCAGGAGCAGCAGGAGCAGTCGCACTCGCAGTAGCAGTAGCAGCAGCAGCAGTGGCAGTGGCAGTGGCAGTGGCAGTGGCAGTGGCAGTGGCAGTGGCAGTGGCAGTGGCAGTAACAGTAGCAGTAGCNNAGCAGCAGTACTAGTAGTAGTAGGAGTCGAAGTCGGAGTCTCAGGACTACTACTTACTACTAGTACAACCACTACCAGTACCAATACCAGCACCAGGACTTGCACGAGTACTCGTACGAGTACGCGTACACCACCACCACCACCACCACCACCACCACCACCACCACCACCACCACCACCACCACCACCACCACCACTACCACCACCTCTGCAACTCGGAAGGTT